GATGGGCGGAATCGAGAAGAAGTGCACTTCTTCCGAGTAGACATCGCTCCTGTCTTGAATGCGCACCTCTCTGCTTCGCACTGGTACTCAGGCAAAGGTCTTTCCGTGTAACAGCAGCTTCCATGTCATCAGGCTTGCGGGTGATTAGTTAAGCACACTACCCAAGCGGAAGCAAGCAATAATCTATTTCGGGCTTGCTTTTTCCTGATTATTGGACATCATCGCGAATGGAAGCAGAGGCAATGACTTCAAGGGTGTTTGTAGCTCGATAATTGGCTACCGTACTACTGAAATACAGCAGTTGCTGGTCACATTGGCGGCAATGAAACTATGAGGTTTAACCGTCATGCAAGGTATAAAGTCTCGTCGCTATATCACCTTCGTCTGCCCGGAACTGCGGTACTAGTGCTCAACATCTTGTTCATCTAGTCAGTTTCATAGCATAAACGTCCATCATGATTGACCTGGGTCCGGAAGCTAGATCTGACGCATTGGCACACTATGCAAGGAATATCATCAAGAATTTCCACCTCAAGCTCTCTATTCCGAGTCTCCAAGTGACCGCTGCTCTGCCCACTGTACCTACTGTACTTGTGAGAGAGACTCACAAAGTTGGAATCATCGGTGCTGGCGTTGGCGGTCTTTATGCCGCAATGATACTTCAAGACCTTGGCATTCCTTACGAGATTTTAGAATCCTCCAACCGTTGGGGTGGGCGTCTATTCACGCATCATTTCTCCGACGAGGAACATGATTACTTTGTCAGTAAATCCCGATTATCCGCACTGTTCCATTCCTGCGTTCGCAAATTATCCGAACTGACTAAAAAGAATGTAGGACGTCGGAGCCATGCGCTTTCCCAATACGCCGCTAATGAAGCGCACGTTCGATCTCTTCGACCGCCTCGATATCAAACGTGGAGGAAAACTGATTAAATACATATATCAGAATCCTGAAAACGTTTTCTTTTATAATTCGATACGCAGGAAGCGCTCGGATCCTGGTGTCACAACAGCGAATGAGTTCCAGATCACTGATGTCCCCGAGAAATATGGTCAGACCGGATGGGATAACCTTGTTAAGAACGTTATTAGCCCTTTTGCTAAGACTCTCGCCGATGATGTCACTAACGGTGGGGACGAGGGGTGGAAGTTGATGATGCAATACGACATATACTCTACCCGAGCCTACATGGCAGGAAACCGTTCGGACGCCAAACCAGAACTGGACGAGCTGAAGATGATGCCTTACCCGCTGGGTGTAGTGAACTGGCTTGAGACGTTCGACACTTCCACAGGTCAATACGATGCCGCACTATCTGAGGAAGTTATGGATAGTCTTGCGTTCGCGTTTCCCGAAGAGGACGCAAATGCAACTGTTGACTGGTATTGCGTGGAGTACGTTGTTACACGATTTACTTCACGAGTAACAATTAACCTATTCAATAACTTAGTGGAGGGTCAAGTGTTATCGCTGATACCATGGTTGCTAAACTCAATCTAACTCTAGGGGACAGGCTTTACCTTGACACTCCTGTTACCGGTATTGCACTTCTTAAAGAGCCAACTCCAACAGTTACAGTCTCCCTAGACGATGGCAGTCAACGCTCATATTCCCATGTGATCACTACGGCTACACTTCCATGCCTGCGAACCATGGATCTCACCGGAGCAGAGCTCGACTACATGCAAAAGTCATCCCTCCGCGAGTTAGCGTACGGACCATCTACAAAGATCGGTATCAAGTTTAAGTCGAATTGGTGGGAGAACGATACTATTATGAAGCAGCTCGGAGCATCTGGAGCGATTGTCGGTGGGCAGTCGCAAACGGACAACATGGCTCGTACAATCGTTTATCCGTCGTATGGCGCAACCAGTGGCAGGAAGTCTACAGTGTTGATCGCTAGCTATGCTTGGACAGCCGATGCGAACGCGCTTTCAGCACTCATGGGTGACGACGACAAATCAAAGGCTTTACTTAAGCGAAGGATTTTGCAAGACCTTGTAGCCGTACATGGCTTCCAGCCCGAAGAGGGCTATGATTTCTTGGAGAAACAGTACGTAGAGGCTTTCCCATGGAGCTGGGGAAGAAATCCTTATACGATGGGTACGTATTCACCGCAGTGATGAATGTGCGCAGAATTTCTGATAATTTTGTAAACGTGTACAGGCGCGTTTGCAAAATTCGGACCAGGTCAGTTTGCTGACCTTTATCAACACTTGACTCGCCCTGCTGCTGAAGGGAGACTACATTTCGCTGGGGAGGTCATCAGCGATCGGCATGCGTAAGCTTTACTTCCTCCTGCATCATTACAACTATTAATAAGACATAACTATACAAAGCTGGGTGGTCGGTGCTCTTGAAGCATCATACAGGGCGGTTAAGGAGATCATTATGCTTAGCTATCCAGAGAAGCTGGATGACTTTGAGAATAGGTGGACACTGCATGACAAGGAGTGGGCGGACGGGTCCTTGGAGAGGCAGATCCTTGTCTCGATTCACCGTGTGTTTAAAGATAATTGAAAGGCGGCTGATGGAATTTGGTTAGGAAAGTAGTTACGATGAATATACTGAGGGATGCTTGTATTGAAGAAAAGATATGTTTTTGTAATGTTTGTCAAAATAAGAATTATCTTGGGGTACGTGCATGATGAAACAAACGACTCGGCAAGCTAGCACAGCTTAGTAAGCAACCAAGTAGCCTTGACGCCTATCCAGATTCGGACAAACATGCCGGCATGTTCCGGAATTACCTCACTACTTAAACGTCACGGGTGGTGGTGGCTCGCCGCTCTGATACGTCTAACTAGGTACGACACGGTCCAGTTTTCAAATTTCTCGTCAAACAAGATCCGACTCATTGGCCATCATGCTTTCTTCGCACTTGTGCTGAAACATTTCCGATTACAAGCCTTGTCTTTGAACTGGTATTGGTAATGTAGAGGTCTGTTGAGCACTCGGGAAACATGAATAGGTGATGTGTCGAACCGAGAGCAGCGCACTCTTCCAGGCAGACACCACTCCTGTCTCCAATGTGCGCCTCCTTCCGCTTCGCACTGGAGTTCAGTCAAAGGTCTTCCGTGTAACAGCACCTTCCATATCATCTAGCGAGCTGGCGGGCGATTAGTTAAGCACCCTACCCCAGCGGAAGCAAAGTAATAGTCAAGTTCGTGGCTTACATTTTCCAGATTATTGGCAATCATCGTGAATGGAAGCACGAATGATGACCTCAATGGCGCTTGTGACTCGAGAACTGGGCACTGCAATGCTGAAACACAACATTTGTTGGTCACATTGGCTTCAATGAAACTACGGAGTTTACCCATCATACCAGGTATAAAATACCAACCCAACATCAGCTTCGTCTGCCCGGCACTGCAGTACTAGTGCTTAACCTCTTGTTCATCTACTCATTTTCATAGCATAAACTTCCACCATGATTGATCTGGGTCCAGAAGCTAGATCTGACGCTTTGGCACACTATGCAAGGAATATCATCAAGAATTTCCACCTGAAGCTCTCTGTTCCAAGTCTTCAAACGACCTCTGCTCTGCCCACTGTACCCACTGTACCTGTGGGTGAGATTAACAAAGTTGGAATCATCGGTGCTGGTGTTGGTGGTCTTTATGCTGCAATGATACTTCAAGACCTTGGCATTCCTTACGAGATTTTGGAATCCTCTGATCGTTGGGGTGGGCGTCTATTCACGCATCATTTCTCCGACGAGGAACATGATTACTTTGTCAGTAAATCCCGATTATCCGCACTGTTCCATTCCTGCGTTCGCAAATTATCCGAACTGACTAAAAAGAATGTAGGACGTCGGAGCCATGCGCTTTCCCAATACGCCGCTAATGAAGCGCACGTTCGATCTCTTCGACCGCCTCGATATCAAACGTGGAGGAAAACTGATTAAATACATATATCAGAATCCTGAAAACGTTTTCTTTTATAATTCGATACGCAGGAAGCGCTCGGATCCTGGTGTCACAACAGCGAATGAGTTCCAGATCACTGATGTCCCCGAGAAATATGGTCAGACCGGATGGGATAACCTTGTTAAGAACGTTATTAGCCCTTTTGCTAAGACTCTCGCCGATGATGTCACTAACGGTGGGGACGAGGGGTGGAAGTTGATGATGCAATACGACATATACTCTACCCGAGCCTACATGGCAGGAAACCGTTCGGACGCCAAACCAGAACTGGACGAGCTGAAGATGATGCCTTACCCGCTGGGTGTAGTGAACTGGCTTGAGACGTTCGACACTTCCACAGGTCAATACGATGCCGCACTATCTGAGGAAGTTATGGATAGTCTTGCGTTCGCGTTTCCCGAAGAGGACGCAAATGCAACTGTTGACTGGTATTGCGTGGAGTACGTTGTTACACGATTTACTTCACGAGTAACAATTAACCTATTCAATAACTTAGTGGAGGGTCAAGTGTTATCGCTGATACCATGGTTGCTAAACTCAATCTAACTCTAG